TGTGGTCGTGGGCCACAGGCACCCAACTCCAGCTTGAAGTCTTGGCGAACAAGCGGCCAGACTCGTGGGATCTCGGCGCTCGGGGCTCGCCCACATGGCCCGCTCAGTGTCTGGGGAGACCTGGGTGGCATGTCATGCACGGTGTCGGCGCCGGGGTCTCGAAGCCCTGCCAGAACTGGCCCGGGAGCTCTCCGCCCCGCTGGGAAGGACACCCCCCACCCCCGGACCCGGTGCCCTGGCCTGAGGGTCGGGCCTGGCGGTGGCCGCCTCCCCGGGTGGTCCGCGGGACCCCAGCCCGTCAAGGGCCCCTCGGCAGGGGCCACATCCCCCAGGGCCGGCGTGCGCTCTCGTGCGGAGCAGCCGCCGCGGGACTGGGGTGCCCCGAGATTGCAGCCCACAGCCCGCACGTGGATTCCAGCCCCCCCAGTGTCCGGCGGAGTCTTGAACAGCGGCCGGGCTTGTGCTCGCGGCCACCCGTGTTCTTCCCGTGGAACAGAAGCTCTCACCACGCAGCAATCCAGTCGTCCTGCCCGAAATGCAGCAACTCGAGGCTGACGTGTCTAGCCTGCTGGGTTTTGTTGTTTTAAGTCAAGCTGTCTCCCAGCCAAGCAGTTGGGAGAGGCTGAGAGGGCGCTGGAGCAGCCTTGACCCCCAGCTGCCGGCCGTCCTGGCCTGCAAGGGGAGGCTCTCTCCACACGGGCAGCAAGTTCCCGCGTCCGCCTTTGCGAGGCAAGAGCTAGGCTTTGCTTTTGTGATTTTACCGTGAGCCAGTCCACGCTTAAAATAGTTTGTCACTTCCCCAAAATGTTACAAATAAGAGTACCATATGTGTGAGCGCTTCTACACCGCGATGCATACCCCAAAGGATTGAAAACAGACGTTCAAGCTCAATTGTGTACACAATTATTTATAGCAGCGCTGGTCATTTGAGCCAAAGGCAGGAACGGTGCAAATGTCCACCAGTGGCTGAATGGAGAAGCAGAATGTGGTAGATGCCTAAATCCAAGATCATTCTGCCACTGAAGGAAGAAAGTCAATCTATGTGGCTGCTGTGGAGAGTCCTACGCAATTCCCTCCAGAACTAAACTAAAGTTAACATGGGATGCAGCGATTCCACTGCAGGCATGTGCTCAAAGAATTGAAAGGAGCAACTCAGATGCGTGATCTGCACACCAGTGCTCAGAGCAGCTGCAGTCACCATCTAGCAGTATCTAGAAACACTGGCGTCCATGTGCTGAGCAAATGTGACATCCACATGTGGCGCAGAGACAATGTCACATTCACTCTTAAACAAGGAAGGAAGTTCTGATACTTACTACAACTTGTAGGAAACGTAAAGTCATTATAAAAAGTGCAGTAAATTGCCCAGATACCAAAGGACAAATGTAGAGAAACCCCACTTAGGTGAGTATCAGATTAGTCACATTCAGAAACAGAAGTGTGAATGTGGCTGCCAGAAGCAGAGGAGAAAGAGGGATGGACAGTTACTGCTTAACGGCTAGAGTTTCAGAGGGGAGGTGCCCATCTCGCCTCCTCCACACGCTTATAACCAAATTACACCTAAGCCAAGGCAGCAGGTTGCGTGCCCACGGAGAGGCCGGAGTCAACAAGACGTGGTCTGTCCACACAGCAGAACACTATTCAGCCACGTGGAGAGACAAACTATTACCATTGCCAACCAACTGCACAGAATTGGAGGGACTCCTATTGTAACAGGGTGGTCCCCAGGAAAAGGGGAGGTTCCAGGTTCTCTGCCCCAGACCAGGAGGGAGGAGCTGTGCAGGGAGGAGGGGAAGCTGCAGAGGAGACTGGAGGAGGAAGGAAGCAGGATGGAAACAGGAGGAGGCCTGGAGGAGGCACGTGGAACAGAGAGAGGTCAGGAGGCTGCTCTTGCTTCCTGGTCTTGGACAGGTTGAAACAGATGGGGGTGAGAGACCCGGGATGCAGTGACAGTGGCAACTTTAAAAAAAAAGATTTATTTATTTATACAAGAACCGGGGTACAGGCCAGATGCGCGGGAGGGTGAGAGGATTCACCAGAGACAGAGCAGAACAGAACAGGAAAATTGATTGAAATACACTGCTGAGGGGAGCAGCGGGTGAGACAGGAGAGGTCTGCTGGCCATGTGGGATTCTCGCCGGCTGGCCAGGATCAAATTGCCACTGCAGAGGCTTGAACTGACACTGCAGAGGCTGGGGACAGCTTCACAGTGCGGCGCTCAACCGCCTACACCACCAAGGAGGCCCCAAAAGTGGCAGCTTTTATCTTGATTTGGATGTTGCTTTTTTCCTCCCAGACTTGTCTGGCTTTTGCTGACCCTTTCCTGTGGGTCCACACCAGGGGGTGCCTTAGACTGAGGCAGGCTCTCAAGACCCCAATACACAGAGGGAAAAGGAGCCCCGTAGCCACTTCTCAGAGAAGAGACCCCATCGCTGTAGACATGTGCAGACACTTGGACATCATTATTATTGGAAGAATAAAATGAAATGCAGGGATGAACCTAAGCTTTGAGAGATGGTCCAAGAAAGAACATTCCATGACTCCCGAAATGCAGCAGCAGGTGGACCCCATTGATAAGAGCTGAGCTGAAGAAGCTACCAGGTGGGGCCACTGAGCAGACCCCACACACCTCCCAGTGTGAAGACAGGGGTGGGAAACAAGGATGCCAAGCCCAGAAGGACAGGAGGGGGCACCAACCCCGCCCGCCAGGGAGGAACCCACATGGCAGACCTGCCCAGTCTCCCTGCTGCTCCCCTCAGCAGTGTATTCAGGCAATTCGCCTGTTCTGCAGAAGACTAGCTTTCAGCAAAATGTCAGGTCAGATGTCCCTGAAAGGATGAGAGGGCCTAGGCCAAACTTCTTTAAGAGCTGAAGGGAAGGGGAGTGAGGCAGACACAAAACACTCTTATTTTGGTGTAAGCATCTCCTGCTGAGGGTCTCAGCGGGTCTTTATTTATACAATAAGGCAAGTGATGGGATTACATCATTGTATGCATAGAAGCAAAACACAACAATCAGTACATTCCTTTCCCATAGACATTTTGTCCCCTACCTGTTCTTAAGAAAAGAAACAAACTTAAAAGTTAATAGATAACTAAAACTTAGATGCATTATTTCAGCCTAAACAACTACCTAGCTCAGCTAACAGTCCTTAGTGCTGCCCTGTCGCCAAGGCTACAATATCAGCAGACTCCTTTATCTATATGGCTTACAGCTAGAGACCAGTTGCTTCCCGGTAATCAGTTATTAGAACTATTTTCTATTACTTAGAGACTCCTAGCGTAATCCACTTCATGATTCATTACAAGGCTTCTCTACGGAACTTCCATATGAGGAATATTATTATGACCAACTCTGGGTTGTTTATCACACATGCCCTTGCACAGTATTATTTCCCATTGTCAAGTGGGCCAAATTATTCAGTGTTTAATTTGTAAGCCAGTAATTTTCCATGCCATGTACTTACAATATTCTTATAATTTATTTCCCAATGTATATTCCATGAGCTTTTTCTTTTTATGACCAAGAACAAAAAACAAAGGGATGTTTAATCTTCAGCCCCAAGGTGTGAGGCACAAGAAATCTTCAGGCCCACCATGTGAGGCTCTTTAAACTTTGGGCCCACGGTGTGAGGCCCTTTTCTTAGCTGTTTGCCAGTGTCTTACCTGGCTGGGGCAGCGAGACCCCCTGCAGCACTGTTCTCCTCCCACTCTCACTGGTGAATCCTCCCTCCCCACGATTGCCACAGCCACACCCACCTCTGGTCTACACCCCAGTGCTTGGACACACAAATAAATCTTTTTAAAAAATGAAAAGAAAAGACCCGCCCCCCCCAGGGGCACACACTGAACCCTACGTGCTTGTGACAACGAGGAGCAGGGACAGGAACAGTTGCAAAAGAGAAAAGTCGATCAGATGGAAGAAGACGATCTCGCCCAGTTGGAGAACCGTTGAGAGTTGAAATGGGCCGGGATTGGATTCTAACGTGGGAACGAACATGGTTTATTTTGGGGGTGATGTGCTGGGTCCCTGGAATATTCTGGTTAAATGCAAAATGGAGGTTGTGATGAGAACACGCGGGGTGCTGCAGGGAGGGTAACTATTCCATGGGGCGGGCTCTGAGAGTGAGACGGGGGCACCTGAGCTGCTGGGAAAGTCTCCCGGGTTTGCAGTCACCTGAGCCTCAGTCACTTTCCCAAGGCCTCTCCCCAAACACAGACAAGACACCGCGACCCTTCATGGAGTGAAGCCCTGAGCAGATCCAGGGCCCGCGCCGTCGTGGGGCTGAGTGAGCAGGAGTCTAGGGTACAGGCAGCCGCTCCTGCTCGGGCGCCAGGGCCCCTGCGGCCATCACTGGGCCCTGCCCGCGGGGGCGCTGGGGCAGGTGAGGGTGCACATGAGAGCATGGGGGGTGAGGGGGGTGGGGGTGGGCGGAGCAGATAAGCACATCTGGCTCTCTACAGTGAAGTTTCTCCTGCTCTATGTCACATTAGGTGGCGTGTGAGGCTGTGTGAGCCCTGATCGCATACTAGGTACCTCAATGATTCACCACCGCCCACTACAGACGACAGTTGTCAACTTGAAGACAGGATCCCAGTTCCCGCAGAGCTCTCCCTGACCAAGCGAACACTGCCTGCCACCTCCTGGACCCATGTGGCTCCTGGCGCTCCTTCCTCATCCCGCATCCTCCAGCTCCCGCGGGTCTCCTCAGGGCATTAGGCAGAGGGTGCTGGGTGCTGCCTTGCCCAGAATGGGCCCCGCCCCTCAGCTCCCCTGAGTCTGCAGAGTCCCTGGAGGGAGGAGGGCTCTCTCTGCAGTTTATCATCAGGGTGTGCCCCATTGGGCCTGACAGGGAGTTTCCCAGGCTAAAGGTAAGACCAAGAGCCACTCTGCCCAGGAACCCCTGAGCTGGTTCCCTCTTGACTCGCCCACACATCTTGTGCCTCCCTGCCCATCGCAGACCCCAAGCCCACCTGCCAGTTGGGGAGCAGCCAGCAGCTATGCCTAACCTCTCCCAAGCCCCAGCTCCCAAGGACGCTCGCATCATCCATTCCTCAGGCCAGAGCTTCGAGCAGTTGAGGCAGGAGTGCCTGCGGAAGGGCACGCTGTTTGAGGACCCAGACTTCCCTGCCAACAGCTCCTCTCTCTATGGCAGCAAGGAGCCTGAGGAGCCCAAGAGCCCCATCATGTGGAAACGGCCAGGGGTGAGTGCAGCCAGAAAGGGTGGTGGCAGGCAGGGGGCTTGCAAGGAGGATCCAAGGATCTGGGAGAGGGCAGCAGGAGAGGAGGGAGCAGGATGGGAGGCAGAGCACAAACCCAATCCAGGCCGGCTTCCCAGGGGAGGCCATGCAGAGTGATGGCTGGAATGATGCAGGGAGCACATAACAGCTGGCAGGGCTGGGGGTGCTCTAAGGGGGTCTCCAGGGCATCTGCTGCATCCAGCCCCCAGCAGTCTCACTCCCATGGAGGTCAGGACTCGAGTCTGACAGTGTCTTGGTAGTCAGGGAGTGGAGGTCAAGGCTATTCAGGATGAGTTGGGGGGATGAAAGCCTTTTAGGGAGGGCCCCTGAGTGTGAGACCAAGTTCCCCAAGTAGAGAAGAGGCTCCTACACTGACGGGCATGTAGGCAGAGGGGATGGAGGGCCAAGTGATGTGACTGGCGCATCCCACCACGAGGCTGGGCTGTCCCTTTGCTTGTCCCTCCATGGGGAAAACATAATGCAACAGGAATGAAGTGTTTTGCTGCAAGAAAGGAGAGCCCGTCAGGAAGGGGCGGGAGGGCCAGGCCTCACGGACGATGCCCTCATTCTTCCAGGAAATAGTGAAAAACCCAGAATTCATTCTCGAAGGGGCCACCAGGACTGACATCTGCCAAGGGGAGCTTGGTAAGTGAGAGGGTCGTGCACGGAGAGCTGGTGGTTGGACAGATGCTCCTGGGGGTCTGATCTGCCGCCAAGGCTCAAGCAGCACAGGTCCCCAGCCACTCCCTGCACAGGGATGGGGAACATGACTGCTCCCATCTTCTGCTTCCCCCTCCTCCCCAGTGGCCACCTGCTCTGCTGAATGGGAGCCAGAGGACTCACATCCCTGGCGCTCTGCTCCCCACCGGTTTTCAGAGAACAGAGAGACCCAGAGGTGCTGCCTGGCTGCTGGCTCCATCAGAACATTAGCTCGGTCGCCTGCTAGGCCTCCCCTCAGCACTCATTGCCTCACTTGGTCTTCCCAACCACGCTCCCAATTCTACAGAGAAACCCAAGTTGAGGGAGGCAAAGTAAATTATCCAAAGTCACAGACATGATAGATATGCAGAGTCAGGACCCCAAATTCCTCTTAACCACTTTGCCACACTGCCTCTGGGTTCATGCATTAAGTACCACCTCAGCCCCAGAGGAATGAACCAAAGAGAGCAAACTACTGTGAGCGGGAGCAGACACTGAGTTCCCCACAGCTGAGGTCACCACTGTGGTCTGACGGATGAAGTGGGACATACCGGGAGCTTCACGACAAGTGGCTGAGTTTCCCTCCCAGAACTCAAAAGTCACACCTAGAATGATGATAGATGGTTGATGCACAGACAGACAGACAGACAGACAGACACATGCATCATGACAGAAGATAAACAGACAATGGACAGGTAGGTAGGTAGATGATAGACATAGAGACACAGACATGGTGGATACATGGAATTATACATTCTAAATATAACCTTGGCTTTAAAAAAAAGAAAGTGTTAAGGTTGGTCTTCCTTTTCTGAGGTGTAGCCCCCCTAAGAGGTTCTCCCTGTTCTCTTCAACATCCCCCTCTCAGTTGTCATCCCCATTCTTCCTCTACCTCCCCTCACCCACTCCTCCACACATCCCCCTGGTGATTCTCTTTCACTAGGGATTATCTTTCACTGGAAAATCGTTGATGGGACTCCTTTGTTTTTTAAAGTTTTAATTTGTCACTTTGGTATAAAACTATTTTGAAATTACAACTTTTGTTGATAGTTGATGACAAATACTATTTTGTGGCACTTTTTCTACATCTGAATACTGTATATAACACATGAATGAGGGGCCTCCCCTGGTGGCACAGTGGTTCAGCGCTGGGCTGCAAGCTGCCCACAGCCTCTGCACCACCAGTTCGATCCCCTGCTACTGGGCAAGGGTCCCACATGGCGCAACAGACCTCTCCTGCCATCCGCTGCTCCCCTCTGCAGTGTATTATGTCAGTCTGCCTATTCTGTTCCCTGCTCTGGCTCTGGTGAATTCTCTCACCCTCCCGCGCTTCTGACTATACCCAGTGCTTGTATAAATAAATAAATAAATATTTAAAAAAAATAACTTATGAATGAAAGATGGCCTCCCTGGTGGCTTAGGGGTTGAGTCTCAGTGCTGTTACTGCTATGGTCTGAGTTCGAGCCCCAGCCTGGGAGCTAACCCACAAATGGTGCAGCAGACCTCGCCTGTCTAGCACGCTGCTGCCCTTAGCAGTGTATTTCAGTAAGTCCACCTGTTTTGCTCCCCACTCTGTCTCAGGTGAATCCTCTCACCACTCCACATCTGGCCTATACCCCACTTTTATGCAAAAAAACAACCTGTGAATAAAGGATAACAATAAAATGGACAGCTGTGAACCAGCCCCTCAAATAAGCACTTGACTATCACCAGCACCATCGTTGCCCCTCCCTATCAGTGGCCACCTGCATGCTTTCACCCGACAAACTGAACTTTGCAGGCACCTTCACCCAGCATCGTGCTTGAGGTGGCCAAACCTATCCATTGGCACAGACTCAACAGTGATCAGTAATTTTCATCTCTTCTGGGGGTTTTTCCCTTATTTTGAATTGTGTAAATAGCATCTGAATCTCTCTCCTCAAAAGCTGAGCACATTTCTGTTGAAATAGTCTCCCGCAAAAAAGGGTTGTGTGACAGTGTCCCAAGTCCAGTGGTACAAAGAACTTTCCGGAAATGTCAGCTCCCAGGAAGCCACACTTGAGTTCCAATGAATTCAAGTGGTATTATCGACTGCAAGCAAATAGATTTGGGGTAGAATGGGGAGGTCCTGTTGGTTAAATGGGTAATTCACATTGTCTGCTCAGACATCTTTCACAGGCAGCAGCTAGAGCTCTGATAGGTACAGATGAGGAGCCCGCCCCATGCTCACTATGAGCACATGAACGCATGTGGGAGTCTGTACAGTGTAAGCTTAAAACACTGCTTGATGTTCACACTCACTTTTGTGTTTTCCTCTGAATGGGGGCTAACTTGAAGGTTATAGCTGGGGAAACCAGCAGATCAGTCTACATATCTTGAAAATGCAAGATCAGTGAAAGCAGATGATGCCCATGGAGCTATTATTACCTGCAACAAAGCTAAGTCTAACCTGGGGAGGCATGAGCCCCTGCAAAGTGCTCCCTCCGAGCTCACCCCAAGTGCCACAGGCCAAGCAGGATGAGACGTCACTCACCCTGGCCCGCTGACACTAACTCTCACAGCCCTGGCCTCCTGGCCTTCCACGGAGCTGACGTGCATAGAGCACAGTGACTCCCACGTGGGCATGACCTATACCACTGCCAAGACAAGAGTTGTCTGTGCTAAGTGGGCAGGAGAGCTGGGAAGGGAGGCAGAGTGGGGAGATTTGCTGGTAACCTTCCCCGATTTTAAGATACAGAAAAAAACGTGGTCCCATCTGGAATGCCCCACATCTCCCTTGGCTATGGAGTTGTCCTGTTTACCACAAATTAGCAGTAAGACCTGCGATTGATGACGTTTCACTTACAGGTGACTGCTGGCTGTTAGCCGTCTTTGCCTCCCTGACGCTCAACAAGAAAGCGCTGGCCAGAGTGGTCCCCCAGGGCCAAAACTTTGACTCTGGTTATGCTGGGATCTTCCATTTCCGGGTAAGTGTACTTACCTCATTGGGGTGCAGTGTGATGTCAGGTGTTTCTGCAGCTGCTGGTCATCAGGGGTGCCTTTTCCTCTTGAGAGAGAACTGGTCGGAGAGCCCTGGAGTGTCCACCCCGGCTCTGAGGGGGCCACCCTGGGTCTTCGAGCCCATGTCAGGGGCGGGTGGGATGCTCTGCACGTGGCTCCACGGACAAAGCACAGCTGAGCCCATCGCAGAACCCACGTGAGAGTTTCCTCCAGATCTGAGGGAGAAAAAGCCAAGTGATAACGTGGACAAAGGGGGGCTGGACCTCCTATGAGACTCAACCCTGCAATCTGTCTCTGCCCCGGGTGACAGTTCTGGCAACACAGCGAGTGGGTAGACGTGGTGATTGATGACCGGCTGCCCACCTCCAGTGACAGCTTGATCTACCTCCGCTCAACTGACAACAACGAGTTCTGGGGCGCCCTGCTGGAGAAAGCCTATGCCAAGTGAGTGTCGCCCAGCGCGGGCAGGCCCCTGCCCCAGGGAGGCCAGTCTCCCTCCTGGGTCCTTTTCAGGGGACAGCCGTGGAGAGGGACACTGAGGCTCTGGGATGGCACGTGTGGGGCGGCAGGGCCACCTGCCTGGGCCCAGTCAGGGCTGAGGTGGAAGAGGAGTGGCTGGGGCAGCTTGCTGTCGGGGTCTAGCTGTGCCCATCCTCAGACACATGGCGACGCGCATCCCTTTCCGCCCCTGCATGTGGATCCTGCCTTTGGCAGCAGCCAGAGTGCAGGGATGTTTCTGGGCGACGTCCCCGCCAGCACAGCCAGGGTAGAAGCCTCAGGGCTCCTGGCCAGCCGAGACTGAGATGTCACTTTCCCACTTTGGAATTCTCCTTTCAAATTTTTAAATTATAAATTGACTTTTTAAACCATTTTTAAGTGTATATTTCAGCGGCATTAAGTTCATTCACATTGTTAGGCAACCATCACCCACACAGCTTCATCCTGCCAGACTCAAACTCTGCACCATTCAACACTACACCCCCTCCGCGTCCCCCCAGCCCCCGGCCACCACCCTGCTACTTTCTGTCTCTGGATGTCACTAACCTAGGAACCCCGGCTAAGTAGAATCTCGACAGTCATTTCTAATCACCCTAGTGGCTGAAGTTCCTCTGGCAATGCCACTCTCTAGCCCACCAGCTAGTCAGCAGCAGCCATGATAGCAGAGCTCCCACGGGATCCCCTTGGACTCAACCTGGATCTTCAAGCTGTGGAAATCCGTCCTTAGGGACAGGAAGCAGGGAGGAAGGCCATGCTTCTACCTCCAAGTGGGTGTATAAGTGGCCAAATAAAGTGAAGGTAAACTGAGGCTCAATTAATCCTGAAATCAGCAGGATGGGATTAAACCATGAAAGAACCAAAGATGGTCCTTTGCCCACCTGCCCACCTGGTCTCATAAACACCCTCGGTGCCACTGACAGGCTTGGGGTGAGCAAAGGGGATGCTTTCCAGGCCTGGTCGGGGCAACCCAGTCCTTCAACGAGTCCTACCATCAGGGACCCTCCTCTCTAGGGTCAGCTTCTCTGCTTGGGGATGAGTTTGTTGTGGTTTCACTCTCCAGGAGCTCAGAAGAGGGAACCCCTCACCTCCCCCCACCCCAACCTGTGCAAAAGGCTTGAGTCAGTTGGTAGGATTTGAAACCTTTGCCTCAGGGAGAAGAGTACAGAATAGGTTCCAAAAAAAAAGGCAAATTAGCTCATAGAAAGATGTTCAACATCATTTGTCATTAAGAAACTGTAAATGGGGGCCTCCCTGGTGGTGCAAGGAATTAAGCACAGCACTATGAAGCAATCTGCAGCCTCTGCAGAATGAGTTCGATACCTGGCCTGCCAGAGGGACACACATGGCGCAGCAGACCTCTCCTGACTCACCGCTGCTCCCCTCAGCAGTGTATTTCAGTCAGACTTCCTGTTCTGTTCCCCACTCTGTCTCTGGAGAATCCTCTCACACCCCCACATCTCTGGCCTGTACCCCAGCTCTTGTATGTATAAATAAATAAATCTTTTAAAAGAAAAGAAACTGCAAATGAAAACAATAGTGAACATTGCTACACACATACAAAGTTTATTTTATAACTCAAGCAGATTATACATCCATAAAGTGTGTGTCTACATGCACATTCTGTGTGCAGGTATGTGTGTGTGTACATGTACAGACATGTTACATGTGCATGTGTGACTGGGAATACCCGAGACCAGGCAGGAAAAGTTCCTTAACTCTCTGTCTACACGACTCATTCTTTCTTGGTCAGGTCCTATGAAGAGAGAGAGAGACTTATTTACACATCACAGCAGCCCTAGAGGGGAGAGGACAACTGTGCCCCCACTTTGCATATCATGAAACTGAATCATGAGCAGGTTCACACAGGGAACACTCAGCTTGTAAGAGGTGGGTCTGGCACTTGAACTCGCCGTCAGAGTGACCCACACCAGGCTCCTATCTCACAGAGAGATTTCTTGTGTCTTCAGAGCATCAAGCAGACCCCACAACCTACTTCCCATCTTCCTTCCATGCCACCCAGCCAGGGCAAGCCTTGGGAGGTTTCTGATTCAGTTAGAAAAACCTCTGGCTGGGGGCGCCACCTAGTGGCCCTCCTCATCCCTGCAGCCGTTTCCAAACTTCCTGGCTTCACAGGTTCAAAGGGAGGAGCTACAAGGCACTGGATGGGGGCAGCATCATCGAGGCCATGGAGCACTTAACTGGGGGTGTAGCCAAGACCTTCACAATCAAAAAGGCTCCAGAGAACTACTGTGAGATTCTAGAGAAGACCTTGAAGCGGGGCTCTCTGGTGGTCTGCACCACCGAGGTAAGTCGCTCACCTGCCTCTCCCTTCCAAGCTCTCTGCCAGAGTCAGAGGCATGAGCAGGTGCCCTGAGCACACACAGCAGGTCTGGCACTTCCAGGACTGGGGAGTATCGGTGTTTGTATATTTTAATCAAAGCAGAAGTTTCTATATAATGTCTTTTAAATTATGAAGCTCAGACACCATTGCTGTGTCAGGTAGAACAATCCTGACAAATCTCTGTCCCCTTCTCTACCCCAGCAAGCTCTGCCCTTGCTCATACAGACAACCACACACACTCAGGAACGCAGGACTGGGTTTGATTTCATGAGATGAAACCCTACTGTTTTCTAGAATCTTTGTTTATGTCACATATCATGAAAAATATATCATTAGATACTTAAGAGTATTTTTTCTACTTTCTTTATGTACACACACACTAGTTTTGTCTAGTTGTGAAACTTATCCAAGTTTTCTGTTTCCTCTTGAGTTCACCTTGGGAATTTGTTCTTTGCTACTAAATGACCCATCTCCTGGGGTTTTCAAGCTGGTGACCCGGAGCTGAGTGTAACACAGTGTCTCCTCGTGCATGTGACTGTGCACCCCCATGAGGGGATGATCAGACAGTTCTGTTTGGGAAAAAGTCAACTCTTTGTTGGGAACGAGGGGCTTCTCATCCTGGGGAGAGTCTGGGAATGGCTCATTGTCACTCAGGGGTCTCCTGTGGAACATTTTGTGTGTCCCTTCCTCCTGGGGAGCAAAGAGGCTGGGCCAGGCAGAGCAGGGTCTGGCCTGATAGGGGAGTGACTTACACGATGGGCCCAACAGTGCTATTTTCATGTTTTAGGCCATCAGTAGTGCAGAGTCCGAAGCGTGGACACTTTTTGGACTCAATGAGAATCATTCCTACACTGTGACGGGAATTGATCAGGTAAGTGACGTGCAGTCCAGCTGGAGGGTGCAGGGACTGTAGTGACCATGCTCGTCCTCTTCCTTAGTGCATTAAAGCTGAAACTGTGCTTTCAGACTTCAGAGAATGTGTCATCCTGAGGAGGCAGCCAGCATTCAAAACAGCAAAACTGGGAAGAAAGCAACATGAGTTTCCATTATAGTTCCCAACTTGTGCAGCAGATAGGAGAACCTGGTCTTTGTTTTTCTTTTCTTCTCTAATTCCACATCAATTCTGTAATAGCATTCTCCAGAGAAAAGACTCAATAGGATGGGTGGGTGGCTGGGTAGCTGGATGGATGGATGGATGTTAGGTAGAGATAGATGGATACATGGAGATTGGTACAGATATAGAAACACTGTGGACCCTTGATGCAGGGGCACTAGCTGCACATAACTGTTGACTCCTCAAAAGCTTAACTGCAATTGTCCTTTAGTGTCTGTGGGGTATTGGTTTTAGGGCAACCCTCCACCCCTATGGACACCAAAATCCACAGATGCCTAAGTCCCTTATAGTAGGTTCTCCAAATTCAACATTCAACCAACAAAGCAACATCCAGGGTTGGTTGAATCTGAACGTGGAACTCTCTGATAGAATAAAATCCAAGAAAGTGGAGCAACTCAGTTCGTTCACACTGATATTGTTTTGTCATGTGTAGTGTGATGTATGTGTGTATATACATACATACCTGTGTGTGTATACACATGTATACCTATGTGTATATACACATACTCATACATACTTATATCAGGGGAAACTGCTCTGAGAGCTCAAATTTCTGGCTAGTTGAGGAGCAGAAGTCTTATTTTCTCTTTCTCCAAAGCTCTTTTGTGCTGTGCAGTTCCTGCCCCAGAGCAGAGTAAGGACGGCTGGCTGGGCTTTCTTTACTGACTCCGGGCTATTGATGTGGACAGCAGAGATCCACAGATGACACCCCAAATGGGAGACTATTGGCTTTGTAAGACTTAGACGTGGTTTTTATTTATTGTTGCTGTTTAAATTCCCAACATGTGTTTCTATGCTTGTCGTTCAGCTGTGAGTAAGAGGCTATGGATGAAGGAAAGTCAGTAGTAGCTCACTGAGCACTTCTGAGAATTACTCTTCACCTTTCTCTGTGGATTCTGAGGCTCCCCAGATAAACAAGCCTCTAGGGAAATTGCAGTCTAGCAAGTCACTCATTCATTTGAAGATTAATATCACATTAGCCACTATGTTTAGCAGGACAATTCCGAGGGCAAGTTAAGAATGGATGAGTTTTGACATGTTTTTAATGTATGGAAGTCAAGAGGCTTCCGGTAAAGCCAGCCCCGGCTGAGAGGATCCACTCCGGAACTCACACATGAACTGATCCTTTCACATTCCCCTGCTGCCTTTGCCTTCCAGGTAAACTTCCGAGGCCAGAAAACTGAGCTGATCAGAGTCCGGGACCCTTGGGGCGAGAGTGAGTGGAAAGGGCCCTGGAGCTACAGGTGGGTCCCCACCGCGTCTCTCTGGCTGGTGCCCACCTTAATGCTATTCATGGGGTCCAGTGGGCCAAGGGTGGCTGGGATGTCCTGGGAAGGAAGAGAAGTTTGTCTAATGTGCTCCCCTGGCTTCTGGATGACCTCACCTCTTTCCCCTCATCCCCTGGGGCCCGCCTTGCAGTCAAACTTGACTCTCAGGGAAGACTCTTAGAGTGGCCTTTTGTCTTCCCTGGGATTGTTTTCCTGTCGGTGATTTTGCTGCCTCCCATGCAGATAGTTCACATCCCCATGTATCGTGGGTCTTTATCTCCCCATATGAGTGGCCCAGTGAAGTGTGTGTGTGTGTGTGTGTGTGTCTGTACGTGTGTGTGGTGGCAATGAGTATTTTGGGCATGAGAATCCCTGAGTGCTGCCAGCAGGTATGTACAGGATTCTCTGGCCATTGGCCAGAAGCCCAGTGGCCCAGGAGAGGCAGACAAAGTGGAATAGGAAATTCAGCCACTACGACTGCTCTGATGACCAGCATTATTTATTGGGCTCCAATTATAGGAAAGGTCTTCCTTTCAGGCCTGTGTCCCCTCCATGTCCCTTGAGAGGTGGCCCCTGTGACTGGGATGATGGGAGGGAGCAGGTGTGCCCAGGCAGGATGCACCCTGACCTGTCTCTACCGCCTCCCTCTCTCCTTCCTCACCCAGAGCTCTGGCCAGCTTGGGCTCTTGCTGGCCTCTCTGCCCACCTGCAGCTCCTGGGACTCTAAGGAGTCTGTACAAATCTAGAACTTGATTAAAGCCAAGTCCATGTTTGGCCTCAGCTCAGACAAGTCACCAGGGGGTGCCAGTCATCTGTGTGTCTGTGGCTTTATTAACCAGACTCCAGCTTGAGGGCACAAGACTGACACTGAAGTGTCCCCCATCACTGCTCCCTCCTGCCATCCCCACCCTCTCCTGCCTTCCACCGCCTCAGAACCCAGGGACTTTGGCAGAGACTGATTCACACCAGACCCACGTCAAAGCAGGCATGAACTCGGCCTTCCTCTCCTGGCGGAAAGAGAAGGAAGAGAAATCACGAAATCAAGAGGAATGAGACTGCTTTTAGCTCCTAAGATTGATAGAGTCCCTTAACTCAGGGGACAGAGTCTCTAAAAGGACAAAGGCTACTGTTTCCTTTCCCTGAGAAACAGGGTGAAGAGGGAGAAGTGGGTTTTTCCTGGAACACAGCTGGGGACTGCCTGCCTCCAGGCAGCCTTGGTGGGATGGGAGGGTCTGTCCCCACCCTGATCCCAGATCCTGATTCTGCCTGGTGCCAGAGGGAGGCTGGAAAGCTCAGATTAGCCTTTGGACCCATTATGTGGGTGTGAGCCATTGGAAGAAAATGGCCCAAAGGAAAAATCAAGGCTCTTAGTTCTGTTCTCAGACCCTGCCAGGGGCAACCTGGAGAGAGGCTCTGGGTTCACTTGGCTCTTCTGAGCCCTCCCCCAGGAGTCAGGACTCAAGGGGTGTGGGGAAATGGTTCCCCCCATGAGAGTGCTGAGGTGGTGGCAGCGCAATTTGAACTGCACTTGATCCTTCAACAGCACAGGTTTAACTGTACACGTTCATTATACTCAGATCTGTTACCTCTCAGCAGGTTCTGCAGCAACTGATTCAACCAACCTTGCGTGATGGTTGGCTGAATCCTCAGATGCAGAACCCTCAGGATAAGGAGGACTGAGAATAAGTTCCATTTGGATTTTCTACTGCACAGGAGGTTGATCACCCCAAGTTGTTCAAGGGTGAACTGCTTCTGGAGACAGGGGTGAGTGTGTGTGTGTGTGTGTGTGTGTGTGTGTGTGTGTGTGTGTTGGAGGGAGGAGAATGTCCCAAAGAAGCAGTGGCCTTAGAGGTGTAATTCCGAATTTGGAGGGCAGTAGGTAGCTTCTCACCTGAGGCCAGGCAAGGCCCCCTGGCAGAACACGATCCAGCTTCCTAGGGAGGTCGCAGAAAGAAAGTACTTGGTAGATCAATGTCAAACAAGCTTGTCAAACAAGTTATGATTATGACTTTTCAAAGTGTCAGCTGACAAAGAACAGAGGTCAAGTGAGTTTCCCTGCCTGTGGTGGTCTCATGAGAAGCACCTTCTTCCATTGGCTGTGCTTGGAAATGTACTTTCTGACCAATCTCAAAGCCTCTGGCACATTTCTGGGGTCCATGGTATAGTCACTGACCAGGATCTATTCCTTTCACAACTGCACACCCTGGCTCCTAGGAAAGGGTGCTCCCCCGACCCAAGGCCAGTACTGCTCGTGACCAACATGCTGATTTGGTTTCCTCCTAGTTCTTCTGAGTGGCATTCTGTGGAACACGCTGAGCTAAAGAACCTAGAGCTCTGGAGAGCTCGGTATCTTGCTGTCTTCTCTGCCGACCTGTGTCACACTTCTCTGGGCAATGGAGAATTCTGGTACAGTTCTTACCTCTTTATTTCTGTACTAACTGCAAAACAGGTGTGACAAGCCCCCATGGCCTTTGGGTGTAAAGTACAACCCATTTCTTCCTATCATTTTATCGTACATTTCAGTAAATCACATACTCCTGTCTCAAAACCCTTATATCCACCCAGGTTGGCAAAGGATTTAATATGTCACGTGTTGGGAACTCTCCCCATTCCCAGACTTGTTTAGAATGTCAAGGGAATCCATGTGATCCAGGAAACAGAAGGCTCATCCTCCCAGCTCTCACCCAGCCTTCCTCCACTGAACCATCCATCACCCAAGTTTGCATTTGAATCTGCAGCCCAGTGAATTTGCATGCAGGCAGCAAGCCATTTGTCAGGAACTGTGGATGAAGACCAAATATATGAGAAATGTATTTTGGTCACCTGAATGAAAAAAATATTTCTTATAAATTAAAATATCACACTGTCTTTACACTGATACTGAAACCAGCAATAGGCTCACTTCCTGTCACTCATCAAAATCAACCACTACAGCACCAGTTTGGGGAAGAAAGTGTGTTTTTTTATTGTGAGGTCAACCTACAAGGAGATGGGAGGCAAGGCTCAAATCTGGAAACTAGAAATGATTTTATAGAAATGGAGGTAGAAAGGAAATAAATGTTAGGAATGTAAAGTTTATGGCCTTGAATAAGGCTGATCAAATACTTACAAATGGATCTATATATAAAAAGGTTTCCAGATTCTTGTGTTGATCTGGATGTGATCAGTCTTGCTTCTGGATGTGATCTAATCTCTTCTTTTTTCCTGTTTTCTTGGTTTTGTGTCAGTAGTCTCTTGGTTCTGATCAGTTGGAATATGGCTTAAGATCAATTTCTTCTGCACACGTTTGTGTCATAGGACTCATAGAAAAGTGACAGACAATGTTGTCTTCCTAAGAGCAGGTTCAAGAGATTGTCAAACATGCACAACTATTCTGGGAATCACCCATGGTTTCAATACTCCCAAGTTTATATCTGCAGTTCCTTTCCTTGGAATTCCAGATCCATATATTCAGGGATCTACTCAGTATCTCCCTGTGAATATCTACTCACTAGCACATCACAGGATCACATGCCTAAACCTCAAATCCTTCTCTCACAAACTTGCTACAACACAGTCCACTCCGTCTTTATCCATCCAACTATTCAAACCACATATCTTCTTCTTTTCGCTCTTTTCCTCACATTTAATCCTCCAGCCAGTCCTATAGGCTCAACCTTCAAAATATGTCTTAAACCTGATCACTGCTCACCACCTCCCGTCCTACCAGCCTGGACTGACCCACCCTCATCTGTCACCTGGACAGCAGCACGCACTTCTTAGCTGGTGACTCCACTTCTATCTGTGCCCTTTCTCATGGGTCAAGGGTTATGGGTCATGTTAGCATGTCCTAATGTTTCTCCATCTAATCAGAGTGAAAGCTGAAAGCCTTATGATGACCACCCTGGCTTTGAACATCATCCTTTACTGACTTAGCCGTCTTAAGATCTTGTTCTCCAACTACCTGGACTGCCAAAAAGTCATTATGTCCCAACCCCTACACTCCAGGTCTCCACCTGAACAGTCAGACTCCCTTAGCTGTTTATCTAAAATATCCCCTACATTGCACGCTCCCCCTTCACCCTACTTTGTTTTCCTTTGTAGTGCTTATACATATATCAAACGATATTTTAAGCTTTTCTTCCTTTTTATCTTTCTTAACCTTTTTTTACTTTTTTTGGGAGGGAGTCTATCTTCTTCTCCCAGGCCTGATTTCTCTCCAATCCTCCAGGACAGAAGCAAGTGCTCAATAACTGTTGGATGATTGAATGAATGAGTAGGTCATGCAATGTCATCCCTCCAGAGCATGTCTCTCTCCACTTGGCTGCAGGATGGCATCTGCGGACTTCAAGGCCCATTTTGACCAAGTTGAGATCTGCTGCCTCACTCCTGATGCCCTAGAGGAGGAAGCCCTCCGCAAGTGGTAAGTGACGGTCCACCAAGGAAGCTGGGTGCCGGGCTCCACAACTGGAGGCTCCCGCGAATCCCTGAGTTGGTAATGTCCCTGCCCTTTGTCATCCCCAAGTGTTGAGTCCAAACCAGGACAACAATAGATCAGGCCCAGGACCCTAGAGAAGGCCCAAAACATGGAGCAGGACAGAAGCATTTCAGTGATGATTGGGAAAAGAGGATGGCAAAGGTTTGGTAGGACCTTGGATAAGAATTGCTCAAAGAACCTCCTTTGATTTACCACTTGGGTTATCTTCCCTGACAAGTTATAGAAAACACACTCACACTAGTTTAGAAATGAAAAGAATAGGGCCTCCCTGGTGGCATAAGGAGTTAAGTCTCATCACTATGAGGCTATCTGCAGCCTCTACAGCACGAGCTCGACCCTTGGCCAGGGAGGTGACCCACATATGGCGCAGCAGACCTCCCCTGTCTTGCCTGCTGCTCCCCTCAGCAGTGTACTACAGTCAGTCTATGTGTTCTATTCCCCGTTTTGTCTCTGGTGAATCCTCCTACCCCCACACCTCTGACCTGTACCCCAATTCTTGTAGGCATAAATAAATAAATCTTCAAAAAAAAAAAAATAAAAAAAATTTATTGTCCTACATAACTGACAAGTGCAGAAGAGCAGAGTGGGCTTCAAGCACAGATCGATCAGTGACATGCTTGTGATAGTCTGTTCTGCCCTCTTTGCTCTGTTGACTTCTCCCTCAGGCTGTTTCACTTTACTGGTATGGGAGGGCGGCCAGCTCCCCATCCCTCATTCACTGAACTGCTCAGCAAGAACTCCTAAGGGTCATCAGACAAAAGCTCTTAACTTCTGTCTCACTGGGGATTCCCTAAGCCTGTATGCCTGGTGATTGCTGCTGACTGGACTTGCAGAAGCCATGGTTCTTTCTCGTCAGCAACAGAGAAGCAATGCAATCTTTGATTTGGAAAACTCTGCTGCAAAGTCTTTCTCCAGTCTTCTCTCAGATACTGATACACACTGAGGATGAGTTGACCAGTATCCATTCACACAAAAGACCCTATGCGAGATCCGTGCAGATCGGCAACTCCTGTGGCTGAGCCCATCTTTTACCCTTCATGTTCTCTGTCCGTTAGGGGGGTGAGGTCAAAGGTAACTCCATTCTCAGTGCATGTACAATAGTGAACAATAGAAGGTGATATTGAACATAAAAGATGCAGCATGTAATCTGCTGTGATAGTGAATATCATACACATGTACCATCTGCTGTGATACCACAAGTATCAGTAACAGACACAAGTAGCTCAGTCACAGAAAAGCCACCTTCAGCTCAATTTCCCTTGGCTTCATCCTCACTGGAGACTCCTAAACTATAATAAAAAGCTCTGAAAGGGTTATGTTGTGGAGACCCAGGGGGTGAGGAGGTAAAGGGGGACTATCCTCGTTTTATCTTAATGTTTGATTATTATTTTCCCCTTGAATTTTCAATAATTTGTCTTTGGAAATGCTTCAGGATTTAATCTGTAAAACTGTATTCTTCCAGGGCCTCCCCTGGTGGCGCAGCAGCAGCGGACGAGGATCCCACATGGCTCTTCTCAACAGTGTCATCCCTCTATAAGGCTGTTTCTCCCTGTTCTGACTCTGCTGAATTCTCTCACCCTCCCGCCCTTCTGACTGTACCCAGTGCTTGTATAAATAAATAAATAAATAAATAAATAAATAAATCTTTTTTTTTTTTTTTTTTAAAAAAGGAATTCTTCTAGATATTTTCATATTTGACAGCTGAAGCCTCCTCCTCCTCTAATCTGACTACTTCCCAAGTGCTGCGGGTTCCCCTATATGTGTGGGCAGCAAAGTAAACCTGCTGTCACTGTTCTCCTGATTCCTCCACCTGTGAGCACAGAAACTCACCCTCCCAGTGGGATCAGGGGGTCACATCGATGGGAGAAGGGCCAAGGGTGAAGAATCCAGCTTGAAAAGTGATCTTGTTAGTTCCACCTCAACTTGCTCTATAAGCTTTTAAAAGTTTCCCACGAATGATTAACCCTCAACGAGCTGAGTGTCTTCTTTCACAATCCAGAATTGCCAAGTTCTGCTTGGAGTGATGACCACATGGTCTTCCTCGAACTTTCATGCTGAGCAAGGTCTGAGTGACGAGTGGAGAGGGAGGTCCGTGCCTGGAGGCTGCACACCCTGTGAAATGCAGTCACAGAAGAGGAAGGCTTCTATGGTACAGAACCTTCCAGCACCTCTGAACCCTGTAGCTCTGCAGCGTCTAATGGGGAAGTGAATCTATGATTATCAACATGGTTTTTGTGCCCACAGGGACATGGATGGAAATGTAGACATTGCCCTTCCTGAGGTGATCCTTCTTGGGCTACTGTGGAGGGTGGGATTCAGCGACTGTCCTGGAAATTTCCTTCAGACCATACATCACTTACAATTCCCAAGTTCAAGGAATGGTTACCTCGATGCAAGGAAGTACCTTGATTCTAACCTCTTGGAGAACAAAAGTGACCTTTCTTCCAACAGAACTGCCCACCCCTCTGTTCCCTGAGAGGTTACTGATGGTTTTTAGGTGGATGGAATCTCTTTAAAAAGTATGCAATTTCAGAAAAGCAACTGATAAAACAAAAACAGGAGAAGCAGGCAGAATTTTTGACTGTGGGCTTGGGGAACACATCAGTTCTCCCTGATGTTGTCTGTTGGGAGAGAGGTCGGGGCTGGTTTTATTCTTGTCCAAGGGTTGTAAGGCTTCCAGGAGATGCTGATGTGACCAGAACATCTGACACCCCCATCTCGAGCAGTGACCAGTTTTCAGGAAGGACTTTCTTCTCCTTGCTGCCCTCTCTGGGATGCAGCTCATGAGCAGACCTGAAACAAAACATCCAAAACCTTTACTGACCTTTTGCCATGCACCAGGCCCAGTGCTCTGTACTAGAAAGATCCTGCCTATAAAGATTTACCACCTACTGCGACAATGATGAAGCAGGGAATTCTAGTCAAGGTGGTGCAGTATGCCCTGGAAGAAGGAGAGGGGTGATGGCAGCCCTGGCTGGACCAGGCCTCTGCCAGGAGTCAGGTTTCCAAAAGTCCTCTCATCTGTCAGGTGGGGAGTCAAGACCAGTCCCAGGAAGTCCTTCCAGACGTTTCTTCTAACGAGCCCTCACAAGGAGAGGAAACTCTCATTCCTAATGCTACTTGCTGTGGCCAGTCCTGGGCACCACCCAGCACAGGCATGTGAGGCTGCCATGGAGGTTCTGGCCTCTCCCCAGGGGGCGGCACCACCTCCTGCCCAGGGCTCGCCTTTCCTCCTTTTTCTTTGGGAAACTAAATGTCCATTTCTCTCTTGTGGCTCCCAAGCAAGTTCCTCTGGCTCATTTTTAGCCTCAGCAGCCAACTTCCCCTGCTCGGGAGACAGAGGAGGAGCAGCAGTTCCGGGCCCTGTTTGAACAAATCACTGGTGAGGAGGGCTGCCCGTTCCCTTGATGTCCTGCAGGGCCGAGTGGCCTGGCCTCCCCCTCCAAGGATGAGGTGACACTTCCCAGAGACGGACCCAGAGGCAGGCAGGAGCTGGCGGGGAGAAAGCAGCCCTGTTCTCTTGAGAAAGGCTGAGGACGGCCTCCTCCTCACAGCTCTCACTCCAGACTGCACTGATGGGGCCACCGCACCCAGCGGAGCCCAGCCAGGCCCAGAAACTTTGTGTGGGAACTACAGAAAGGTTTAGGAGGGGATTCCTTTGACCTCTGCCCAGAAATTGGCACCTTCATCCTGCTCTATCTGCTCTGCTGAAGGTGGTGTTGTCAGGACAGTTCCTGTGATGTCACCAATGCATGCCCGCATTTTGCCAGTTCACAAAGATGTGGCAAGGTTTGGCAGCTGCAGGTCAGGCAATCTGGAGCGTCTGTGCCCTGCTGCCTGCCCTTTCCCTGCCCATTCACACCCTCTCAGCTGCTCAGCTTGCTTGTTGGAGACCCTGGCTGTTTGGGGACCAGAGGGAGTGGGGGTCTTCCCTGTCCTGCCCAGGCTCCCTTGTCCTTGATACTGCTCTAGCCGTGTTCCCTTGAAACCTCTCAGTTGGTAGTTGGAAATAGTATTAGCCTAGGTCCAAGACTCTACATTTCTCTCAAGCTTCTAGCGCAGCTGGTGCTGAGATTTATTGGGATTTACTGGACCATCTCGGTCAATGGTTCTGAAATTCATCCCCAGAGCTTTTAAAAATAATCAGTGAACCATACTCCCGGTTGTCCTGATCAAAGTGGGATAACCCCCGTATGGGCATTCTTGAAGCTCTCCCGGTGCTTCTGCTGTGACAGAGGCTTGGACACAGGAGCCTCTGACACAGGAGCCATTTAGGGAGCTTGGGCTCAGGGCTGGGGGAAGCATGCTTGGGCTGGCCTGACTTACCTCCCTCCCTGGGTGGCTGGAAGGTCCCAGAGATGTGAGCAGGCTGCGGCCAACAGTACAGGGCACGCGGGCGAGCAACAGGGTGCTGAGGGATGGACTAGCTCTCAAGTCAAATTAAGCTCATCATTGAAAGAAACTGTAAGAAGATACTGAGTCACAAAAAGCAATTGTCTCCACTTCAATAGGACATGGAGATGTCAGCAGAAGAACTCAAATATGTTTTAGATGCTGTGCTGCAAAAGAGTCAGTGTTCCCACCCACCACCCCTCAGGGATCCCCAGGGCTCCCCTGGAATAGTGGACACATGTAGGCACCCAGCCTGGTTCTGCTCTGCTACACAGGCTCCCTGCTCCACGACTGAGTTCAGGCAGACTTTAAAAATAGCTTTGGTGGGGGCCTCCCCTGGTGGCGCAGCTGTTGAGTGCTGGGCTGTAGGCTGCCCGCAGCCTCTGCAGTGCCGGTTCATTTCCCAGCCGTCGGCGAGGGTCCCACCAAAAAAAAAAAAAAGAAAAGCTTTTGTGGCTTCTTTCCTGATTCCAAAAATGATGCAGGTTTGCAGGAGGAAATTCTTTAAAATGCAGAAAAGATAATAACAAAGATAAAAATCACTAGTAATCTCAGCACCCACAAATAACTCTTGTTAAACTTGTGTGTCTGCGAGCAAGTGTCCATTTATCATATGTTCAGTTTGATCTCTGTGTGTGGATGGATGGATGGGTGGGAGGTAGTTAGGTAGGTAGATAGATAGATAGATAAAGAGACAGACACTTTTACTCTCACAGCTTTGAGGTGTAATTCACATACATACAGTTTACCCATTTAAAGCACACAAATCTATTGCTCTTATTCACAGAATTATGCAATCATCACTATAATCAATTTTGAGAGCATTTCATCACTCTGAAACAAAACCCTGCACCCATTTGCCATCCCTTCTCCACTTCGTTCATCCCCTGGCAACCACTAGTATACGCTCTGTCTCTATAGATTTGCCTGTTCTGGACTTTTCGTATAAAAGAAATCGTGTAATATGTGGTTCTTTTGTATCTGGCTTCTTTTACTTAGCATGTTATTTTCAAGGTTCATTCACGTTGTAGCATGTAATATACAGGATAATATTCACTCATATGACATGTTTGTTGTGTGGACATGTATTTTCATTTCTCTTGGGAATATAGTTAAAAGAATTGCTCAAATTCAGAAGTAATTTTATAGCTAATGTTTTAAGGAACTGCCTGACCATTTTCCAAAGCATTTCTTTTACATTTCCATTAGCAGTGTATGAATGTTCAAATTTGTCCAATAATTGTAACCCTGCTTTGTAGAATGAATTTTTTTTAGTAACTTGTAGGCTTTATTAAAAGGAATCAAAAAAAAACAAAAGCAAAGGATAACTTAATACAACCCCAAGTTCCAAAATTTTCTAGGTTTTCTAGTGCAAGAAATGCTGTTTCACTGAATTATGAATTCCAAGCAAAAATGCAATCAACTCAGAAGGGATAAAAAAAAAAAGAGAGAAACCACCGGAGAGGCACACAGATATTTTTTTAAAGGATTTTTATACTATATTAAAAAACCACAAAATAAAAAAGGGATCAATCAACATATATCTTAGAAGTCTTTCCAAGAATCTCCGTACCCAACAGCCACGCAAGCTGGATTTTTCTTCTTTGCTCAGCTTGCATTTCATTTAAGGTTCTTTGGAGGTGACTCATGTTCTAGGTCTTAAAATCAAACTTGTTGCGCCAAATCCAAGACCCTGAATTTATCCAAATTGTAGAAACATGCTTTTACCACCTGTCCACCAAAATACCTCCCATTCAGATCAACAACAGCTTTAATTGCTGATTCAACTCTCTCAAATTCTAAAAATATTTGTACTGCTTCATCATCAGGGGCACCAGGAATTTCAAATATCACACATTTTCCAACTTTGCCATATTTTTCACATTCTTCCTTGGTTTCAACTTCCAAGTCTTCATCTACCTCTCCTGCACCAACCATGTTCCTTAGTAGGGCCACTTTAGTAGGACACTTAAGTTTTTCAGTTAAAGGATTTGAATCTGACTTCTTGGATGCATCTTTCTTCGTGGCATCGCCCACAATAGTCTTGCCTCCTCACTTACTTGTCTTTTCCACTGATAACACTGTGCTCAGTCCTTGCTCCTGCTTCCCAAGACCCTGGCCTTCCCGGAAGCCCTACTTCTGCATGATTTTATATGCAACCGTGCCACCCATGTTGGCAAGGAAGGAGTTCCCCCGCCCAGTGGGAGATCTGGGTCTGTCTGGCTCCTCATATACAGAGGGAGGGATAGCAGCTTTGGAAGACTGTGAACGAGGTCTTGAATACTCTTCATAAGGAAAATCTTGGGGTAACTCTTTGTCTTTCTCTACAAGACAAGTTGGAGGTGCGATGACAGCTCCGCCCATACTTCTTTTTCTCCTCTCGTTCATAATCTTCATCTTCATCAGAATCTGGATCTGGTTGCCTTGAAAACCCGCTAGCTTCATGTCTGTCTTTAAGCCTCTTCTCTCTCTCTTCTATTTCTTTTTGTCTTTCCAGCTCCTGCTGTCTCTGCTGTTCCTCTCTTTGGTGCTTTACTACTTTCTCATAATCATTAGGAAAAATAGGATCATATTCATCAGCTAAGGGAATCAAAACTTCTCCTGCAGAAAACCCACTGGGAGCAGGATCCTTGAGGCCGGCTGCTACATGTGGCGGGTGTCGACAGTCTGCCGGTCATCTGAAGAGCCGCCTCTCTTCAGGTCGATTACGGGGGCAAGGACTGTACTTTGTTTTGTCCTCTGGCTCTTTACATGAGTGAGAGCTGCCTTCTTCACCTGGAGCTGAAATTGCAGATGTTTGAAATTCTTGGACCAGCCCTCTGTTTTGGAGTCACTGGTCTCCACTCCCAGGACGTCATACAGGGACATCTTTTTTTCAGTTTAATGCCGGCCCGCCCAGCAGACTCTCCCCATGGGCCGCGGCGCTGCAGAGAGGGCAGGCTGGGCGCGCTCGGTGTAGCCGCAAGGGCCAGACCCTGTAGAATGAATTTTTATGAACATTTTCCCCAGATCATTAAACATGCTTAAAAATTCGTAAAGGTTATGTTCCATCACAGGAACATAACCCAACTTATTGTTCAGACCCTTCCATTGGTCCTTTCTAGAACTTCTAATTTTTGCCATTATAAATAACCTAATAATAAAAGTCTTCATTTACAATTCTTTGCTTAGAAATCGTAAAGAGAGGACCTCCCTGGTGGCGCAGGCAGTTGAGCGCCGCACTGTGAAGCTGGCCACAGCCTCTGCAGTGCGGTTCGATCCCAGCCGGCCGGTGAGGGTCCCACATGGCGCATCAGACCTCTCCTGTCTCGCCCGCTGCTCCCCTCAGCAGTGTGTTTCGGTCTTTCTGCCTGTTCTGCTCCCCGCTCTATCTCTGGTGAATCCTCTTACCCTACTGCGCATCTGGCCTGTACCCCAGTTCTTGTATAAATAAAAATCTTTAAAAAAAAAAAAAAGAAAGGGGAGGTTTAATTAAAAAAAAAAAAGACATCATAAAGAGAGAATAAATGGATGGAAGGATATTCCCATTTTTAAGGCATTATTCATATTTCATAAATTTTCCTCCCCAAGGGCCATGTCAACTTCTTCTCTCCTCAGTATCCTAAGAGACTGACAGGGTCAACACCCTAGCCAGCCACAGATCTGACCACACTGTGGGACTCTCAGCAGCTGGGAAAATTGTATCGGATTTGAAATGAGTATTGCTTTCATGTGCGATTTCAGATAAGGACATTCATTTTAAAAAGCTAAGTCTGATTTCCTGTAAAAACATCCTTTTTCTAATGGACATATCCTTCCAAATATGTGGGCAAAAATAGATGGCAAATGTTTTTGTCTGCAGACCTCCCTAGGACATGGCACCCATAACCTGCAGGCTAGTCTTCACAAACAGTAGCCAAAGACTGGGAGACCCCTGGAACTAGAAATAGAACAGAATCCAGAGGCACAGATTCTGTGGGGGATTTTTTTTGAAGATGTTACCAGAGCCAGGGTCCAGCTATGTGCGACTTGAAGACCAAAGCTTGAGAGACGAGAGCTGGTGGAAGGAAATCAGGTTTAATCAGGAGCCAGCGACCTGAAGAGGTGATGGGCTATTTTCTCAAAGGCCATCTCTGACCTCTAAAGGTGCAGGGGCTGTGGGGCACAAGGATGAGCATGTACTACCTATTATCTTGGCTCTTGGACATTAGGTGATCAGGTTGGCATCATTCATCCAGGGTAGGGGCTATGGAATTCCCCACATTGGTCCCAACTCCTTCTTCCTTAAGTCATTTCAGGGTTGGTGATGCCTACAAAAGTTCTCCATCTCAGTCTCAGCTGGGTTTGTCTTCAGGACCAGAGCAAGGATGAGGAACTTTTAGTAACCAGGCTGGGGACAACACCTCATTCTGGAGTTACTCCTGCTCCTCACCTCACCACCTGCTCCTCCTTCTTGAGGGATGATGAGCAAGGCCTTTCTTCTGGGCCTGCTTCCCACCAAGAGCAGGGGCAGAGATTTGGGGCCCAAATATGAGATAGAACTGATTGTCACAGGGTTGTAAGCCCAATTTTTTATACCATTGAGTGACAATTATTTGGAAGTTTTAATGTCCCCAGCCTGTGGGAGACAAAGGGTACTAAGCAATTCAGGGCACAAGGGCCCAAGATGAAAAAAAGCTGAAAAGTAGTGAGGGGCAAAGAAATATGGACTTGGCTGAAGGTTATTGGCTCATCACAGGGCACTTCATGATGATGAATGAAGAAGCTTCTCGTCAGATAATTGCAGTTTTGAATTTCCGTTGGTGCTGCCCTCCTCCCCTGGAGACCCCTTCTCTCTCTGCATCTCAGTTCCCAGCTGGCCCTGGAGCTCAGCCCAGGTTGTTTGCATTTGCTGCATCTGTGAGTACCAGCCTCAAAGAGAAGAGTTTAGATAAGTTTGTTTTTCTTTTGTGCTCTTTAGGGTCTGAAATCAATTTAACTTTCCGCCTCACTTCCAAAAGGACTTGAGAATCTTACTGCCACTTTGGGGTCCCATGCCAGGAAATGAAGAGGGGTGTGTTGGGGGTGGGGGGGTGCATGGGGGTTTCATCTTCAGGTGTACTCCCTGTCTGACCCCTACCTTGTGCCTTCTTTAGAGATTCCTGGTTTAATAATTGAACCATCTCCCTAGAAGGCCGAATCCATGTCACCCATGCCCGTCACACTGCCCGGCTCTGAATTCTCAGGTTGAAACATACTTGCTGCTTCTTCCTTAACTCACTCCTGACACAGACCAGCGGCAACAGGAAGCTGGAGTTTGATGAATTCAAAGTGTTCTGGGACAAACTGAAGAAGTGGATGTACGTAACCCTGCCGGGCTTGGCCCCGAGGGGATTGTACAGACCTAGAGCAGAAGGGGCTTTTAGAGATCATGGTGTTGCAGGCAAGAGGGTTAATTTTCAGAAAAGGCACAAGAGAACAAATCATGATGAATTCCAGGAGGGCTTGTGATACTTCTGGAGGCACCACGGAGCTTCCACCCCGAGGGAAAGCCGAAGGAAGCAACCTCCTTTGCAGGGCCCAACACGGCCCTTCCCTCTTTGGGCCCTGGTGAGGACTCTGCCCTCCACACTGGCCACCCCCCACTACTGCACAGGCGGGCGTCCCCTCCCCGGGGCCCTCCTCGTCCATGCCTCTGCTCTCCTCCCCCAGAACCTTTTCCGTCGATTCAACACTGACAAATCCGGCCCCATGTCCTCCTAGGAGCTGTGGACCGCCCTGAAAGCCGCAGGTAACAAAAGCCTGGGGCCGGGTGCAGGCTGCCTGTGTGTCAGGTGCTGCCTGCAGACACCGCTTGCTTTGCTCTGGACTCCAGGAGGTGGCGGGGTTTTGACCTGAGCAGATGCCTCTTAAGGGCAGAGCCAGACGTCAGACCCAGAACTCGCTCAGTCACTTCAGGTCCCGCACTTTAAATCACTGTGCATAGTTGGCAGGATTTTTAAAAATATATCCACAGAAGATGAACTTAGTCTGACCCCCAGAGGCCTTGGAGCCTCGGACCAAGTTTTCTGCCCAAGCAGAGTTACATGGGACCCTTCGGCGCCAAGCCACAGTGCTGCCAGGCCTCTGATCTGCTTTCAGAGGGCGAGTGTGACCGACAGACAGGGCACGCCTGGGCTGTGGTTTGCAGGCAGCAGACCGCTCACAGACTCACACACTCACAGACTCTGCTGTCGGCGGCCCTTACCCGGCTTGCTCCCCAGCAGGCTGAATCCTAACCAGATGGTTTATACATAGTTCGTCCACTGCTCCCAGCAGGAAGGAAGGGTTTGGGGTGCCTCTGGCTATGCCACAGCCATGGCAGGCTGAGCCTCTGGGGCTCCACTGTCCTTTGCAACCCACAGCCCCCACCAGGCTGTGTGGTGCTTCTCACCGACCACGTTTTGGGGAAATGGCCCCCAGCCTCTGCCAACACCTGTGCTCTCATTCGCTCCCAGGTAACCAAGCATCTGGAAAGTTCGTCAGCTTTCAGGTCTACAGGGACAGAATTTACAAAATCAGGACCATTTGGATCCTATGTGAGGGAGAAGACAAGAGATGAGTTTTAAGTGTGAGAAACAGTTGAGATGAGCCTGGTTTTCTTAGGGGTTGGTGACTTGTTTCCAGAGGAAGAAAACCAAGTAGGGGACACAAAATTTGACCTTCTGGGAGGATGTGACCAAGTCTTTCCCATTCTGATTTGGGGAGAGAATGGAGTTGCCCTCCCCACCTTGTCCCCAGTGAGTGCAGCTGCAGCGCTCTGGGCACCCACCCTGCAGGCTCCCAAAACTACTCAGGGGTGGGTCTTCTCTGTGTGGAGCTGGACTGAGCAGACAGGGAGACCCTGGCTACACTTCTAGGCAATACTTTGACCATTTCCTGGCCAAGGAGTATGTAGGTTAAAATAAAATAGAAGGGGGGAAAATCATTTCTAAGGAATTTGGTTAGAAATCAAAGCATTAACTCTTGGCTCTAGAAGGAATTTTACTTGGGAAAACCCCTTATTCCACCTGTGAGGAAACCCAAGTAAAGCCCACCCCCACCGGCCTGAGCAGTACCCACCTTGCATGCAGTCCTGTGACCTGCCTAGTGTTCTCCCTCCCCCAGAAATGTGTGTGAATGAAGCCTGCACCTTGTCTTTCACTCTGGGAACCAGCATCTCCTTTGAAAAACTGGTTTCTAGAGCCCCCAACAGCTTTAGGTCCAAATGCCTCTGAGAAATGTTCACTAACTATGGGTTTTGTGGCTGGAATCCCCAGATGCCCAGCAGGAGCAGCTGGAGGTGAGCTCAGGCAGGGAACTAGAGGGAGGCTGGGGGAGAACGTGAGTGGGTCTCATCGACAGCAAGACCCAATTTCACTGAAGTCCGAGCACAGCTGCCTCCCTCCTGGACACCATCTACCCGCTGCATTCAAACCCAGGACAGCTATCAAAAATAAAGTGGCAGGGCTAAATCTAACCATATCCATAATTATATTAAATATAAATTGACTAAACACCATAATATAAAGACAATGATTTTCAGACTGTATAAAAAAAAGCAAGAGTCAATAGATATCATATACAAGAGGGACATATTTCATGTAAAAAGTTACAAATGATGAAAAGGGTATACCATGCAAACAGTCACAATAAGGATCAAGGTGGCTTACTACTATCAGGCAAGATAGACTTTAAGATAAAAAAAAGTTACTAGAGACAAGGAGGGGCATTTCATCATGATAAAAGGTAAATGCATGAGAAAGATAGAACAATTATATATGTAATAGTACCTAATAGCAGAGTCTCAAAATTTAGGAAGCAAAAATGAATAGAATTGAAAGACAAAATAAACAATTTAACAATTACCGTTGAATACTCCACTTTCAATAGTCGATAGAACTCCCTGTAGATTGTCATTCAATATTCAGACAATCATAGAATTTGGTTTTCTCATCCCCCTAAGACACGTTTTAAAACAACCCAAATCGAATCTCCCAGGGCTCATGAGCTAGCTGAGGAGCTATTTGAGGCCAATGCCATCCACTTTCTGTTGGAGCAAAAATTGGATGAAAATGTTGAAGCCTCAGTTGGAGGAAGTGGAGTTCTTCTCATCTTCAGAGTCTATGATTTCATTAAAAAACCTGAAAAGTATTCTCATAATAGTCTATGTGATTAAGGTATTTTAAAAACAATCTCCTCTTCTGCTGACATTTTGAAGTGAAATGCTGGAAGCCTAAGGAGTGGTGTTCCTTGTGTGATGGCAGGTTGCAGTGTGGACACCCACTCTGTGAGCAGGGCCTGTTCACCTGGGCCAGCTCCGCTCAGAAGGGTGACCCAACTTTCTGGGATAAAAGCTGCACAATGGGAGACACAGTGAAACGTGTGTATTTAGTAGCAGTGATTGACACATTGTAAGTCCGTGGGAAAAGACAATATTGAAGGAAAAAAATTCTCTAATAGCACCCAAGCAGCCGTGGGCCACAGCCAAGAACATCACTCCTCCAGCCCATTCCCTGGGGTGGCAGAGGTGACTCCCCCAGGCGTCTCCCCGCAGGCCTATTCCCAGACACATCTGTTGTGGCCCTGCCATCACATCTAAAGAGCCTGCACCCAACTCAGGGAGTGAAAATCTTTCCTCAGAAATCCTTAGAATAAGTCCCTTGGACCTCAACAGGTGGGAGCCATGGGCCTAGACCGGAAACAAAGAAAATTCTCCTGGTTGCTTTCTCTGTCCTGTCCTGTGCAGGTGCACTGAGGGGCAGGGATTCAGAAAGTGCCAGTCATGTGACCTGTTGGCAGGAGTGCTGAGGTTATGGCGCCAGCTCAGTTCAGTGCACTGGATCATTTGTGATAACAAAGCACCGTTGTGCTGAGAGCTAAGACCTCCTGCCAAGTACCAGTTGGAGGGCTGTGCCTGTGCTGGCACTGCTGTGAATCAACAGTAGGCTGTGCTTGCTACTGAGGCCCGCCTGGGCCATTTTCTCAGCCCACAGTGCCTTCCTGATAGGGAAAGGGGCTGAGGAATTGAAATTGGGACTAGGAGGAGAAGGAGAGAGAGGAAGGGGGGAGTAAGAGAAGAAAGGGGGATGGGGAGGGAGAAAGAAGGAGAAAGAGGGACGTCGAGGGAGAGAAAGACTCCCCTGGATGCCTGAATGACACTTGAAGATGGAAGAACTTAGCCCAGGGATGTTCCTGAGGATTATCCATGCATCACCACGGAACTCTGCTGGGGGAAAGAGTCACTCTCTTGCCAAAGGAAGGGGAAAACCATCGTTAGGTAACTGAGCCATATGAAACAAATACACAATCATATTATGGAAATGACACTGGATTTGCAGTCCAGAAACGAGTATTCTCGTCTGGAATTTACCTCCAACCAGCAGGTGACCTTAACCCCGTCACTTCACCTGTCTGGGCTGCCTTGCCCTGGGCAATTATATGGCTGCTTCCTTAACTCTGGACCTCGAAGGCAAGGCAAGCCCTGGCTCCACGGGTCGGAGACAGGCAGAGGTGGGCCTGGCAGGCCTCAGAACTCATTGATGTGATTCCTAAGAGGCTTCTGAGAAGAATGAGACCGTCTAGAGGATTCTCTAGGCATGTCAAGTCCTGGCTCCTAAAAACACTTTGTACACAGTCCTTCCTTTCAGCATCTCAACATACACAGCTCCTGTGTCTTCTAAACTCACTAGAACTCAACTTGCCCATTTGGTTTCAACTTTCCTGATGGCGGTCCTTCTGGAAGCGGAAAATGTCCAAAGTTATGTTGAAATTGATAGTAAAGGGGAAGGCAATGACACAACTGCTGCAGTGAAAGTCCCATTAGATAAACATCCAACCCACATGCAATAAGCCAGTTTGATTTCCCTCATCACTTGCAAGTTCTCCTTTCGTCTGATGGAGTCAGGCTGGCCTTTACACTAGCAAGGCTGCATGCCAAGAGGAGGGGGCTTTTGGAGACCAGCTCCAGCTAGATGTCGTGTCAGGGGTCCCTGAAAGGAGAGGACAGCATCAGTGAAAATTTGGGGGGCTGAGGGTGAGGGAGACACAGGCACTCTTATATTGATGCAAGTCTCGCCTACTGAGGTTCTCAGCAGGTCTTTACTTATACAGTAAGAGAACGGTGAGATTACGTCAGCATAAACATTGAAGTAGCACACAGACAATCATTACATATTTTCTCATGAAACTATAGAGACTCCCTTGGTCTCATAACAAAAGGGCATTTCTTAGGTTACCTTAAAAAACATCAGGGACAATTAGTTTCTAGGTACAGATCATATTCTAACATGATCAGTTATTTCAGATGCACATTTGGTGACAATTAAGCACCCTTTGAACTTTCCTAGTTTTGGAGTGGGTGTGAAAGTCCTATTCTATATTCTATTACTGAAATCAGCCTACCTCCTAGCACTCAATTAACTTGGCTAATTTATTAATAACTTCAAAGTGGCCTAAAGCAACTCATCAAATCTATGTTAGTTCTAATGAAGTCTAACTCTAAACTAGAAATTTTAAATACTGAGAGAACCGCAAATAATTCAGTCTTTTGGGCCGAAGTTTCAGTCATTTGAACGGACATTTGCTTGTCATTGATAATGAAAGCAGCCTTGCCATTGGAGGAACCGCCCATAAACACCAAACCCCGCAAACCTGCCTATTCTAAATGGGTTCTGCCATCTGTCGCATCAACACAAAACATGTGAGACTTTAATGGGAAGGAACTTTAATACAATTAGGAAACAATGCAGAAAAGGCAAAGAATATAGTTTCTAAATCAAGCACCCAAAGTTACCCATCCCCTCGTGGGTAAAAGTTCACCCAAGCAGGATTGGCCCAGAGCAAGGCCTCAAAGCCTGCCACAAGTCTTAAGCATCTTCCAGTGGGGACCCATAGAAAAGGATCAGAAACTACCAGACAAGTCTGGAAGGAAAAGAGCAAAATCAAAATCAAGAGAAAAACCGCCATTGTCACCTCCCCTCAGGTCTCACCCACATCTTCATGTGTCTCTTGGCTCCATGTGCCTCCTCCAGGTCTCCTTCTGGATCTCCATCCTGCTTCCTTCATTCTTTAGTCTCCTCTGCAACTTCTTCTCTCCCTGCAAAGCTCCACACTCCATTTGGGTGGGGCAGGGAACCTGGAACCTCCCCCTTTCCTGGGGACAACCCTGTTACAAAATGAGAACAGGGAATTCTTGGCCAAAAAGTTCAATGCTCCTATGCCTTCCTTTAACAATAAACACAGCTACTAGAGAGGCGTAGGGACAAACAACCTTCTTTGCTGTGACTAGTAAATGCAACCATTCCAATGGCCCTTTTTGCCACAAAACGCCAGATGGCATGTGTGGGGTGGCTAAGATTATAAATTCCCATGGCTTGGTATAATCTAGCCATAATAGTTGCTGATGGTTCAACTCAGCATTTACCTTTTCTAAGGCTTGTGCCGCTTCTGGTGTTAACTGCCTAGGGGAGTTTGGATTAGAGTCACCTTTTAACACATCAAACAGTGGGCATAAATCAGCAGTTGTCAGTTGCAAATGAGCTCTAATCCAATTTATGTCTCCAAGTAGTTTCTGGAAATCAT